CGCGGCCAAAGCACCCCCCGCAGCCAGGCCAGCGTCTCCGAGAGCCTGCGGAGGCTGCAGAGCTGCGCTGGCTGCAGGCCCAGGCGCTGCGCTCGGGTCCACGCACTGGTTTGTGCCAGGTTGCCAACTGGGTGGTGGATTGCAGAGAAATGAAACCGGTGTACTGGCTCCTTTCGAACAGGGAGAGTTCAGACCTACCTGCCTGCCTTTGACATGGGAATTTCCTCTCATCTGCTGGATGATCATAACGGTTCCTTCCAACGCAAATGATTCTATGAGTCTGTCATCCCCATCTTCTTTGCATGAGCCAGCCCCATGCTGACCCCTCCCTGGTAGCAAGCCCCTGGCCGAGACTCCAGGGGCCAAATTTCTTTTGACTTCAGATGTTTTGCTCCCAGAGCACACCTTGGCTGTCTCTCACTGGGACTGTGGGTAGCACTGACCTCTGGTTTCTCCAGCAAACCTGGGTAGCTTCCTTCAATCTGCCTCTCAGAAGTGGTGTGACTCTCAGAGAAGGCCACCCAAAGGGCTGTGCTGAAAATGTGACAGTCTCGACCAGCACAGACAGTTCTTGCTGCCTTTGTTCAAGCTCTGGCCCAGTGCATCCAGCCTCATTACACCCATGGAGGTTCAGTTCTTTGGGGAAGTAGGTGAACATTCTGCTTGTAGATGTGGCCCATTACTACCTTCAAGAACTGGTGAAACACCCCATGCTGTCTTCAATAGTCCTGATGCTTACAAGTAGGCAAATGAGTCCCAGGTGTAAATGCTGCCTGCTGCATCTGAAGAGTTAGGGAAGACTTTCCTGCCTCTTGGATCTTCCTTTCCTCACTACAAGTGATGAGTAAGTGGCACACTTGGTCAAAAAGTGTCACAGATACTGAACTGCTGACCCCCTAACCTACCTTCACCTTCCCAAAACTTCTGTCTGGATGGGATGCATACTTGAAGGTTCTCATTGACTCCTGAGGGACACTTCTTGGTGGCAGTGGATTGTACTGGGGCCAGTTGCTTCAATGCAGTGCAAGCACTGCTCAGCAGTAGCCAACACACTGGTTTGTTACCAGCACAGTTTTAGATACAAAGCACAACACAGAGAGGGTGTTATGGGGAAAGTTAACTCCATCTCAGCCAGACCCAATACAGATCTATAGAACACAGTTTAGGGGAAAAATAAATATAATAATTTTATTGTAAATAATAGTCACACAAAAATAAGCAGCTTCCTGCCATTTTGATTATCGATAATGAGAAACAAAATAACAGAGAAAATAAATTACAAAGACAAATATGAAAACTACTTTGTAAAGATAGTATTTCAAACTGAAAATTCTGTTTTCACCCTGTTCTACTTGTATGCATGGTACTACTTAATGGTAAATTCCCAAATGCCGTAACTCCAAGGGATGCTTTTGGTTCCAGCAGGAAGAATAAGCAGTGGGACAGCTGCCCCATCTTACATCAGTTCCAGGTGGAGATTCATCTTCCCACAGCACACAGGTAGGTGGAGCAGACCCACAGCCATCTGGAGAAGGTTTATGCACTGGAAGACCTGATTTAGGTACAGAGTGAAAGAACTTCAGGTGGGATGCATGATATCACACTAGGCTGAAAACCCATTTCTAAGAGGTGAATCAGATTGCTTTTGGTCAAATTAGAAAAGATTAATTTATAACTCTTTTCTGTCCTCTAAGGTTTGGTCCAGGATGAAAATATTAGGATGGACACTAATGCACAGGAAGCATTACAGCAGGAAGTATGAACAGGCGGACAAACAAACATGTTGTCAATCTGTTAGATATTCATCATAGAGTAACTGGATACCAAATTTTCCTATTTTCAGATATGAAGGGCAGAAATTCTACTTAGCAGTAGCCTTAGCAGTCTGCCTGTAAGACTTAAAAATGCAAACTGTCTTGCAGCAATGTCTGTGGGACAAATTCCCATTTTTCCTATTGAAATATGGTTTTTGAAACAGGAATAATTTGAAATACTGGGGAGGCACTTTTGGCAAGAGCAGGGAGTGATTAGTGCTCACCAGTGCTCACCTCAAGTTCAGCTTTGCAAGGGGTGTGAAGGGCACAAGAAGGACTTCTATTGCTACATAAGTTGTAAAAGGATGAACAAAGAAAATATGGGAAACTGTGTTTCAACAATTACAGCATGTGTAAAGGTGGCCAGCAGTGTCTGATTTTGTGAGACTTTCTGTGGTGTTGATGGAGAACTGCAGAGAGAGCAGATGATGTGGTTTTGTTGCTATTCTCTGTGGTTATGGTCCCTGGAACA